AAATAATAATAATAATAACAGAGTGAGATGCAAATTATTTTAAGGCAATAATGGGAGGGGGGAGGTGCAAAGTGTTGGAGAAGTGTTAATTCAAGTCTCTGCTAAGGCTCAAGGGGAAGGAAACTCCTTCCATAAAGCAAAATATGAGGACCTGTTTTGCAAAATTCTCCAAGAGCAAGAAATAAAGGGGGGTAGGATATAAAAAGCTCTTTTCATTACAATAAATAAATAAATAAATAAATAAATAAGCAGCACCAACAAGCAGGCGATCAAACCACAGTCAAACTTCAATCTCAAAGCAGTTAGCTATAAACTGTTAGCAGTTGAAAAGTAAACCTGTGCACACAAAGGCACTGTTTAAATTTCTTCTTGTAAGGGTTCTAAATGAAGACCCAATCACTATGCAGTTAAGCGGTATTTCTTGTCCCCCTGAGGCGCTGATCAGTTCTTTTTAATGTGAGAAAACTGGCGGCTCAAAACCCGTCAATGGAGCTCCCACAACAAAAGTTCTGAAAAGCTGAATGAATTGGGTTTGTAATTACTGCATCCCGTCCCCCCACCCCTTGCAGCTTATCTCTTATTCATTCACCTTATATTATTGTCAAGGAATCTTACTCTCAAAATCATTCCCTTACCATTTTACCCAGGGCCCCAGAGGAACTTATGACAGAGCAGAAATGGAACACTTGCCCGTCCCCCCCTCACCCCACTACACCTGGAAATGTTCAAACCAGTAGGTGGGGAGGGAAGGAGGGACTATCTTGTACCCCAATTTACTCTGAGACTACTAGAACTCAGAGTACTCAGCCTATGGAGACTTCCATTTTAAAACCCCGAATTTTATTGGCAAACAGCAAATGTGTGCCCTTCTAAATTCAGAACCTGCCTGAGTCTTTGAAATCCTGTGACATCTCCACTTAGAAAAGGCAAAGGTTATAAATAAACCCCCTCCCCTCTCTCCCCAAACTGCAAGGCCCTAAAAGACCTTTCCAGACATGATGTAGAATCTAAGGTAACTTATTATGTTCTTCTTTTTTTTCTTTTAAAACAAAACCAGTAAATGAAATAGAAAAAGAAACTACAATCCCCCCAACTCTCAGCCCAGGAAAAGGTTTTATGAAAAAGTCAGCTTTAGAATGCCAGGGCTCTGTGTGTATTTCAATCCAAGGCATGGCTGATGGAGAAGATTCTCCTGAGATTTCCTACTGTAAGAATGTGTCGGTTCTAGAAATAAGTACAGCTATTATTACAACCAAATCTACTAGCAGACTAAATAATTAATTGAAGCGTTGCTCTTTGACCCTGGAAAAGTCCAGTAGGGACACGTTTATAGTAATAATACCTCCGAATGAGCCCTTGTCAAATATTCATTTAGTGGTTAATGTGAGCCATTTTCCCCTGGGACTGTCTGTAATACCAGCTTCCCAGTATTGGCAAGAAACCTTGCTAATCTACTACAGCTCAGCAAAATATTTTAACGCTCTTTATTTAAAGTAGGGGGCGGGGGTGCGGGGAAAGAAAAAATTGCAGAGGGAACAAACTATAATCTCATCCTTCTACACATTTCCATTCCATTTATAAGGTTAACAAAACATTAAATTCACTCTTTTGACTGGAAATTGAATGGTTTTTGTGAACAGAATAATATCCCAAGGAAGCAACTGAACACTTCAACAACTAACTTCAGCACTGAGAGATAACCATCTCTGGGCAAGTTTATGGGTTTACCCCCTTCTTGGAAATCATATTATAATTAAAATATTGTATGTTCAATATTAATCTAGTCATGAAACTACACATCTTGGGGAATCATTTAGCCCAAGCAAATAAACAATAAAATATATGACATTTTCCTCAAATGCAGTTTATCAAAAGAATTTATATTTGCGAGCAAAATATTTTGGCTTTCATTTAGGTAGGAGATATGGAGGGATAGGAGGGAAAATGGGAGTTCTCTTGTTTTAGGCAGACAGTGACAATCACTCAAAACTAGTTCAACTTCCTAAAATTGCTCTCTTCCCTCTAGCAAAATATTTGAACTTGAGCATTTTGCCAAAAAGTTGTTGCTTTTTTTAGTCTGATCCTGTGGGCTCTTTTTTGTTCTGTTTTGTTTTAAGGGAGCCTAATGCAGTGCAATTACTCTAAACCCTATACATATTTCTAATATAGATCTATTTTTTTTCAAATATATACACTCCATATAGTTGATTGGCTCAAATTCCGGGAATATCCTCCCCACCCCCCCAGCAAGATCATTTGGATCTTTATTCAAAGTTTCTTTTATTCGTATGTGTGAGCAAGAACTGGCGAATGTGCTCATTACCACGTGAATAATCCGTATATGCATTACAATGGCTGGCCAGGCTGGGGGAAATTCTTTTAGAGTCTCTGCATTAATTAGGGGGGGAAATGCCTCGCTTAGAATTGGGAACTGGCATAATAATTGTTCTTTACCCTAAAATGAATTTTTTTAAAAGAAATAATTGAAAACCAATACACACCAAAAATAAAGCAAACCACATGAAATGAAAATACAGAAAATATGAGGATATCTCCAGCTGAGCCCAAAACTAACATTAGCAACACCACGAGAGAGAAATACTTTCTTGGAAAACGAGAAGTGCAAACCAACGGGCTGAGCTAACTTAGTGGCTGCAGCCGGTATTTTACTCAAGGGTGGAAGGCGCTGCCGGATTCCAACTTCTCCAAAGTTGTAGCAAGTTGACACAACAAGCCCTTGAAATTGTGGGTAGCAACCCACGCTCTTAAGAATGCCTGACTCGTGGTTCCTGGTCCCCTTTGGTGGGGGAAGTTGAGCGAGGTAAGCAGTAAATAAGGAAGAAAAGTCCCTGAGTCGGTCTTACAGATTCTCCGGCTGCGCCAAAGCGCGGGTCGGTTGTGATGTAGAAACATCGCTAATTCAAAGACCATGGCGATTCCCCAACTTTTCCGCTCCCACTGACGACAACTATAGTCTTTCTTTACCTTTCCTAGGGCAAAAGAAAACAACAAATCCAATCTTGTTTCCCCACCCATTTCCCCTCCCCCTACTTCTCTACCACTGTAGTAAAACATGGTTAACAGATCAAAAGCATAATCATCTCCCAATGTGATTAGACCGGACAAAGTAAAATATCTACCTCAGAGTTGATTGTTTTCTTCTTTAATATGGCTGTTGCCTGGCTTCTCTTTTGCTCGTTATCAGCTGCAGAGATATCCGATTTGGGACTACAGGCTTGGACCCGCGCTGCCAATTTAAGAAATGGAATACGTGGAGGGAGAGAGAGGAAAAAAGAAAATAAATAATAGTAATAAAAAATAGCCGTGATAAGTCGGGGGGGTTTCGTAAGACGCTCTTTGCTTTCCCTCGCCCCTAAACAGGAAAATGTAGAAGAGAAAGTTTATGAAGCCAAGGAACAAAGAAAGCAAACCACTTGTTTCCTCTCAAACAATAGCAGGACTGAAGTAATCCAAACACCCACCCAGCAGATGAGCACTTTGCTTGTCTAGTTTGCAATTATTCCGATACAAGAAGCATCATTTTCCCCTATAACCAGGTTTCCAAAGGGCCATTGTGCATTGAGGAAAACGAAAACAAAACCAGCCAACCTGGTTCTGATTTGGCTCAATACCCCATCTGCTGAGCTACATGAAAATTTTCAGAATTGACTCCTTCTTCCTGGCAACAAGTGGCATAAATCAGTTTTTAAGTATAAGTCCCCATCATGCTTATTCATGCTGCTTAGAAAAGGAGGGGGTGGATTTACAATATATGCCTCTAGTTTCTATTTTAGAAATGACATAAGCATTTCAATTTTTTGAGAGTACTTATTCAATTAATCATTCAGACATTTATTTGTTGCAATTAACATTAGCACATGCTACTGGACTAGAATATCAAGGTTTTAGGTATTTTGCTTTCTTGGCTGAGCACAGTATATACCCCGAGGAGTTATGTATATCAGTGTTATCCAAATAAATGAAACACTCAAGCATAATTTCAGTGTCCATATTTCAAAAATTTATTTATCTCAAACTGTGCATAATGGAGTAAAAACTTAAGTTGAAAATGTACCTGTTATAAGGATGGTATTAGTTCAAATATATACATGGATTCTCGGCAGACTGATTCAAATAATACAGAGCCGAATCTTTAAAATACAACTACGGAAAATAAAGGGGGGGGAACCTTAAAATATCACAATAAATTTACAGAAATATTACAAACCATAAGAAAATATTTCAAACACAGTAATTTATGTTGTTGGGTGTTTTTTTTTTTTATCTGAACAAAATGGAAAGTTGGGAAACAAAAGCTATTATAAATTACCACGATGTCAACCTGTATGGCCATTTTTGCTTTTAACAGTAAGTTAAAAAAAAATTTAGTACAATCTAAAACTTTTGCCCCTTTAAAGAAGACCACGGAGATGGTTTTGCCAGTACTCTTAATTTTTTCCTTTTGTACAATTTTTTAAACAATTAAAATGTCCAAATCTGAATAATTTTCTTCTTTCCACGTTTGCAACTGTCCTAAATTTCAGCTGCAGAATCAAAATTCAGCAAGAAGCCTCTCCTTGAAAAATATTGGCAAATTCTCAGCTTATAAACAATGGACATTTTGATTGCCATGTTTATCTCGATAAATACTGTACAAAAGTTGCTTGCAAATATTAAAACATTTTTTCGTCGCTTGGAGACTAGCTCTAAATATTATTGGTAAAGACTTTTGCAAACTTTCTGCAAAGCTCCTACCGTATCACTAGAACTTTTAAAAAGTTTTGCGTAGTTTTCTTTCCTCCAGATCTATACAAGGTCCATTCCCTCGCCCTCCCCACCCCACCCCCCTGGTTTTCTCTGTACAAAAATAGTCCCCCAAAAAGAAGTCCAGGATCTCTCATAAAAGTTTTCTCGTCGGCATCGCGGTTTTTGCTTGAGTGTGGATGGGATTGGTGTTCTCTTTCGCAGCTGTCATTTGCTGCGGGTGATGACTTTTTTTTTTTTTTTTTGAGCGTACCGGGTTTTTCTCCATGCTGTTTCTTCTTACTCTCCTCCCATTTCCCTCGCTTTTCTTTGAAAATTTCTCCCCCCCCCCACCCAGTTCACTGTCCGGCCCTCACATGTGCGAGAGGGGCAGTGTGCCGTTAATGGCCGTGCCGGGCACCGGGCCGCTCTGGTAGTGCTGGGACATGTGAAGTCTGCTGGGGGCGGCGGGCTCCGGCACCTCGGCGCCGGGGAGGTACATGCTGATCATGTCCCGGAGGTCCCCGGCCTGGCAGGGCGCCCTGGAGTGAGAGGAAGAGGTAACCACGGGGGGGCTGGAGCTGGCCTCGGACTTGACCACCGAGCCCATGGAGCCAAGCGCCATGCCAGGGGTGCCCTGCTGCGAGTAGGACATGCTGTAGGTGGGCGAGCCGTTCATGTAGGTCTGCGAGCTGGTCATGGAGTTGTACTGCAGTGCGCTCACGTCGTAGCGGTGCATGGGCTGCATCTGCGCGGCGCCGTGTGCGTTGAGGCCCGGGTGCTGCGGGTAGCCCAGCTGGTCCTGCATCATGCTGTAGCTGCCGTTGCTCCAGCCGTTCATGTGCGCGTAGCTGTCCATGCGCTGGTTCACGCCCGCGCCGAGGCCGGCGCCCACCCCGACCCCGCTCGCCATGCTGTTGCCGCCCGGGGCCAGCAGCCCGCCGGGCAGCGTGTACTTATCCTTCTTCATGAGCGTCTTGGTTTTCCGCCGGGGCCGGTATTTATAATCCGGGTGCTCCTTCATGTGTAGCGCACGCAGCCGCTTGGCCTCGTCGATGAACGGCCGCTTCTCCGTCTCCGACAAAAGTTTCCACTCGGCGCCCAGGCGCTTGCTGATCTCCGAGTTGTGCATCTTGGGGTTCTCCTGGGCCATCTTGCGCCGCTGCCCGCGGGACCACACCATGAAGGCGTTCATGGGCCGCTTGACGCGGTCCGGGCTGTTCTTCTGGTTGCCGCCCGCCGCCGCCGCGGTGGAGTTGCCGCCGCCGCCGCCGCCGCCGCCCCCCGAAGTTTGCTGCGGGCCCGGCGGCTTCAGCTCCGTCTCCATCATGTTGTACATGCGGGCGCTGTGCGCGGGCCCGGCCCGCCGGCGGCCGCCGACCCTCGGCCCGGCCGGGACTTTGGGGGGCCCGCGGGCGGGGGGAGAGGAGGAGGGGAGGCGGGCGGGGGTGTCGGGAGCGCAGGGCTCCGCGAGAAAAATCAGGCGAAGAATAATTTGGGGGAAGAAAAGAGAGAGAGAAGCAAACTGGAATCAGGATCAAAAAAAGAGCTTCCCTCCTCTTCTGGCCGATCCTGCCGCCGCCGATGATTGTTATTATTATTTTTTGGAAAGGCTTAAGCCTGGGGCTCAAACTTCTCTCCCTTTCTTTCTCTCTCCTCTTCTTTCTCTCAGTCCTAGTCTTAAAGAGGCAGCAAACTACTTTCCCCCTTTTGCAAACACTCTCTTCTCTGCCTTGACAACTCCTGATACTTTTTTGAACAAGTTAATAGACAACCATCCATGTGATGGGGGCTGTCAGGGAATAAATGGGTTTCCAGCGACCAATCAGCGTGCGGCGGCTCCTCCACTCGAGCCCAGCCTCGCCGCCGGGTTTTGCATGAAAGGGGGCGGGGCCTGCCGCGCCGCAGGCCGCGCGGGGGAGGCAGGGGGAGGAGGGGGAAGGAAGGAGGGAGGGGGAGGCGGCTCCTACAGCCAGCCTGCCAGCCACTGAGAAACCTTTGTATCCCCTCTCGCAGCAACAGGTCACACCACACGCCTTTTCGAAGGAAGTGGGTAAACAGCACTAAGACTACGATTTTTTTTCTTCTTCAAACTTAGTATTGATTTACTTTTTGGTGCGGGCCGCTGAGTTGGGGAAGGGGCGCAAGAAGCCGCTAAGGTGGTAGGGTGGGGCAGGGCAGAGTGGGTGGTTCAGGGCGACTGTCCTACTAGTATTTCAGGAAGCAGGCAGTGCAGGAGTTGGTGTGTCATTGTTCTCTCGCTCCTCCGCACGCTTCTCCCCAACCCAGCCTCTCCGGTGCTTCTCCCTAACCTCGCTCTTCCCCTCGCCCCTCTTCCTCCACAGGTGCCAGCACTGGCTCACCCCTTTCTCACACAGTCCCGACAAGTTAGGTAGGAGGGAAAGCTCTGTCTTCAAAACCCTCCTTGCTGCCACGCAGTTTGCTCTGTTTTAAGCATAAATCCTGCTTGGACTATGCGGCCGACTCTACAATTAAGGGGAGGCCGGACCTGGGGAAGCTGCGGCGAGCCGGCTCTTCCCTGCCCCGCTCAGCTCCGGCTGGGACACCACAGCTTGTCCCCTTACCCCCAGCCACGTCGCCCACCATCTTTCTCCATTCAGTCGATGGAGAGAGGATGCCCCCACTCTCGTCCTCTCTCCCCATTCTCCCCCTGTGCCTCCCCCAAAGCAGGATTTCAGTTGGGCCGGTTTCAAAAGGAGGCTGGGGGAAGGAAAAGGTCCACAGAAGGACGCTCAGAAGCGCAGGCTACGGAGCAGCGTAACTTCAACTTCCTGGCATCCCACGGCACAGTATGGAGGTGGGCCGCACTCACAAACTCCCTCCCACGCAGAGTTCCCAGGACTCGAGCAGAACCAGCCCTGCCATTCCCCTTGTGACTTGTACTGTGGTGGCCGCTCTGCCCGCGCCGCCTGGGTCTGGGGCAGCGCTCGGAGGGGTCGCCAGGCCTGGGAGGCGGGTGTGGTGCTCCCCAGGCACAGGTGCAGGCGGTGCAGGCAGGAAGAAGACGGCCAGGACTGGTCCTGGGGGGCGCCCAGCAAGGCCGAGGCTGGAGGAGGATAGGATGGAGGCGGGGGTAGGGGCTCAGGAATCCTGCCCGCCCAGGACCCAAGAGGGTAATTTTAGCCGCTCTCCCATTGTCCTGACGTAAAGATTTCAATAGGTAGGCGCTCAATGCGGAGAGCAATGGCAGCACGTCCGTTACAAATAGGTAGTTTTGTTTCTCTTGTTGTCGCTACACGGAGTCAAACAAAGCCCCGTCTAAGTTTCCTTCCACTCTCTTGTTGGGATCTTTGTGGCTAAAATGCACTTGACTACAAAGGGTGGGGGGGGGGTGGGAAAAAAAAAAAACCTGTTGCCATTTCTTTTTTATAAAGGGCTTAAACCATCAGGGTTACTTATTTTCTTTCTTCTGTAACACTCTCTCCGCCCCCTCCTCCCCTGATCTATCTACCCGTACTCACCCTAAGAAAATGTACTGAATAGTATCTGTCGGCCACGTTCCATTTATTATCTTTACAAAACTTTGCATTGTTTTGTTCCTTACTAACCTTCCCATAACCATCACCACCCCCACTCCAACTTCTCCAATCCCTGCCCTCCCAGGCTTTTCTGTTCCTGTCCAACTCAAAATAAGTATGCTCACTGGAAAGCCAGAAAAGTTGAGAAAAAGAATCCTTTTCTTTATAAATTATTATTTCCAATCAGCCGCCCCTCCCCCATCAGCTTCTTCTTTTTCTCCAACTTATGGTTTGTTTTTGTTCTGGGGAACCCGGGAAGAGTGAGACTGGCCTTCTCGAAACGGATAAATATATGGCACTCTTCAAAACAAAATAATATCTTCTGTTTATTAAGCTAAAAACGGACATGGACATGAGGAAAGAGAAAAGGTTAGAGGCTCAGAAGACAACACGGCAGCCACAGGCTGGCTTTTCAGCGCGTCTGGTTTCAGGGATGTAGCTGGTGCGCCCCCTACTGGTGGATTCGCTTTTCCATGACTACAGTTTTGCTTTTACCTTTTAAAAGAAGGTGTTTGGAAATAATTAAAGGGAAAAAAATGAGGGGAATGGGAGGAAGATCCAACTAATTACACGTAATCTAAACAAAAGAAAAGTTAACATATATAAGCCATGGAACCAAATCATAAGAATCAGATTTAATTTGCTTAACTTAGAAATGTACATATAACCTCCAGAGAAGTAGGAGGTTAAACTATGGGAAAAAATAGGTACAAATTACGAGATTCAACATATGAATGAATTGTGATTGTCCAGATGCCACGAAGGGCAGACCAAGCATTCACTTCATGATTGTGTATGCATTGGTCTGTGCTTAGTAGCATTATTCTGAAAACTTTAAAAAAGCTTATGGATAATTAAGTCTGAAGAAAAATAACCCAAGGGGTTGATGTGGATAATGGTGGAGTATATGTATTAAAATAAATATTAATAACGAATGGTTACAGTAGCAAATTTTTTAATCTCCCTCTCTCTCAAGGGGTAGTAGGAAGAGGCACAAATTTTTCCTTGGGATAATATATAAAAGCTTTTATACATTCTCAGACGCCTGTGTTTGTGACCGAACTCTATAATAATGCATTTAAGAGGTTAAAGGGGCTGGCTAGGTCTTTTGTTAATTGCTTTTATCATATAAATAAGCTATGAAAATACATTACAATTGTGTTATCATTGGTTGCATTTATTTACAGCTTTATTTTAATTAAGCCTGCTGTACTTATCAAGGCAATAAACTAACTGTGGCTGGCATTTATGCATAATAATGTGCTATGAAAATAAGATTAAAGAAGATGGTGATAGCAGAAACAATTTTCTCATTAGATTTTTTAGAACATATGCATTAAAAAAATCAGATCACCGGCCACTCTATTTCAATCCGGCACTATCACTGGCCCCTAAATATAATAATAACTATAATAATCACAATAGATGATAGAAGCAGCACTGTTTTAGGTTTATAACAGATGGCTACAGTACTAATAACAATGCACCATTGACTACTAGGGAATCAAAATAAGACTTGGAAGAGGGTGCTTCATCCTTCAAGAATTTAAAAATGTTGCCATTGGCACAATGTATGAAAATTTAAAGTGCTTATTCTAAAGGAAGTATAACATTTCCCTTTCATAGGCAGCAAAAAGCTGCATCCTTTTAAAGCAAGATTAGAAATTAGGAACAAAAATGCCTAACTCCTAGGATATTCTGATTTAATTTTGCTCTACTATATAGGCCCCAGCCAAAAATCCTTAACTGATTAAGTGTAGCTCAGTTTTATCTTTTGCACTGGTATTTCTCTCCTAAACTCCCCTCATCCCTCCCAAGTATTATATCTGAAGCCAACTAACAATTTTGTGGAGATAGGGGACTGTAGACTTATTTTTTCTTCTTAGTGGCAAATAGAGGTTTAACTTGCAGTAATTAGGTGAGAACTAGCCAAGCATCTTACTATTATGATGCTTGTTAAAAAACGCTTCTTTTCTGCATCTGCATTTGAGTGTGTTCCCCTCCTCTCTTAATCTTCTTATGGAAATGAAGGCAAACGGCAGGGAACCTGCAGAGTCTTGGAGAATGTCCTTGTTAACTGGAATTTCTCAGCATTGCTAATTAGCAGAGTTTGACGACCACCAGTATTGGGGGGAAAGCTCTGTTTAACCACTCACAAACCATTCCGAGGAAGAGCAGACTAATTTTATTTTGTAATTAAAATCTGAAAAGGGCCCTATTTGACAGTTAGGGCTATGAGAGTTTTATCTCCCCGTGAAATAATTACTGCCTTGATAACTCAATTTTCTGAAAAATGTCAACTGTGGGCTCCAAAAGTTTTAATTTCATTACGTAAGGAAAAAAAGAGAGAAACATAGAAGAAAATGTACAGAAAGGCTTTCTAATTCTGGAAGTGGTTAAATATATTAGGAGCCAGATTTGGCCAAATGAAGGGTTTTTTTTTTCTCCCTTTTTTGTTATGTTTCCTCCAGATCCTAACCTTCCAGCCTTTTCCACTGAAAGCGCCCACAAGCAGTGACCATACTGCGGTAAAAGAGACCATATCAGTGATGTGGTAAGAGGCACGTAAACTAAAAAGAAGAAGTACGGCAACCCAAGAAAAGTTTCTGATTTTAAAAGCCAAAAATAAAGGAAAATTCCAACGTGTAGGACAAAGCTGGTGCAATCTGGTAAGATGAAATTTTATTGATATTTATCCCCTAACACAAGACAACTGAGAACTATAGAGTAAGGAGACTGGTATAAGCCTATTAAAAAAAAATGTTTCCTTCTTCCCCCTAAATTGCAAAAAAAGTTCCTCAATCACTCCAAATTGGAGCATGCCACAAGACTTCTAGAATGATCAACACCTGATTCTTCAAGATATATGAAACAAACACAGATAAATGAAGGTAAAGAAAGGCATTCAAGATTTTCTTTTCCTTACAAAAGCATCACATATTTTCCAAAATTATAAGAAGCTGGAAAAAGTTAGGATATTGAAAGTAACAGCAAAAATTAGAATAAAATTGTGCTGTTATCAAACTTCACTTGCTTTAGACTGTGAAGGATCCCTCACAAGATCCTAGAGGGAATACTGCAATCTTTATAAAGCAATTTTCAAAATGATAGAAAGTCTTTCATCTACATTTCCTCCACTTTCTTCCTATTGCCAAACTTGTCAGATTTTGGAAGTGTGAAAGATTATTGACAGGAACTATAATAAATGTTTCTAGATGACACAAAGAGCAAGCATATATCTCTATCCCTTTTTATTTAGTAAGACATAGATATGCATATGGATGCAGGGTAGATTGGCAATTTAAAATTGCTTAATTATATTTTTTTCTTCTTGTCTGTCCCTTCAGCACCTTGCCTTTAATTTCCAGAAGTGGTATTACACATAACAAATGAACAAGGGGATAACAAATGCTATTTCAGTCCAGACCCAATTTCACCAAATAATTTCACTCAAGAGCTGTAAGGACCCTTGAAACCTAAGGAATGCAGAGCTGCTCTGAATCCAGCTCCTTTTTATACTCACTCTCTTTCATCTGATTCCCACTGATGAAATAAATACATTTTAAAAAGAATTCAATGATATAAAGAAAACCTAATATATTTCCCCCTTATTTCAAATTATAGCAACAAAAATAATATATAATCACTTGTGTATGTCTTCAGGGCTATATATAACAGTCATCATATTGCTTCTAGTATTACAAATATATGTACCCCCTTCATATATTCCAGCTCAAATATTTCCTGGAAAAAAGGATTCACATTTCACAATTTCATTTCCATTTCTGAATTATCAAGCAGTTTTAACATAAGATCTGTCTCTGCACTGCAGCTGTTGCCCAAGGAAAAATGCAGTGTGCCCATTAAATGATCTAATTATTTTAAATAGAAATTCCCTTAAAAAAAAAGACAAACTGAAAATTGAAAGAGCCTCCTACCAGTGGTTTTCAGTTACACTGAAAAGAAATGAGACTACCATTTTGATTTTAAAACTCAGAAGAAAGGAATGAAAAATGAAAACAAACCAGGCAAACAGAGCACCAGGAACTGCAAGTGGGCCAACAAACCCATGGCCCTTTCACACCTCTAAATCATTGCTTGGGAGTATAAATACATATCTCCTTGATTGACCACACTATCTTGTGCAATTGATCATACCAAAGGAACAGGGTTTCCTTAGAACCCGAATTTTCCAGTGACTAGGACTGTTACCTTGATTTTAGGAAAAAGACGATTGTTTTAAATTCTCCAAACTGTGATTATTTCCTTTAGTTGTGACCACAACTTTTGTGGGAAAAACAAACCTAAAGCTTCCTTAAGATTTCTCTAGAGCATATTAAGTGGCTCATGAATGACACCCCCATGCATGCCAGGCTGCACACTCACTGCACCGGCAATCCACCAACGAGGGAGAACGTCTCTCAGTCTGGCTCCTTCCAAACTGCTGAACTGGGATTTCGTCTTCTTTCTTCTGGAGATCTCATGGTGCACACTGCTTCTGTGTTACTTCAAGTTCCCTTTCCAGAAGTACAACCAGACATAAAACAAACTCAAAAAGTGACAACGCTCAACTACCTCAGAAGGCAGAGGTGTTTGGCACCTCAAAAAGCAAGTTGGGGAAAGAAATTTGATCAGCTTTACACGTGTGAGGGACAAGAATACTATCAAAGGAAAAGGAAGAAAGTCTTTCACCTGTTTGTATGAAAAGAAGCTGAAAGCAAAGCATTTATAAAAAAAAATCACCTACAGTCACCATCAGCCCTAAACAAAACTACTACCCACTTTTTCTCAGAGCTGCGGCTGTGGCTAGCCCTGGAAAGTGCTCTAAAGCAAAGTGTACACCATCCTGGGTGGCCTGGCATCCTCAAGGCCTCCCACTGATATCTGGAGCCCTCTCCCAAAAGCTCTTCTGGCCTCAAAAGAAATGTCTGAGAAGTCCGCCTTCCCAGGGGCCCACTTCTGCTCACCCTCCAGTGCCCCTTTCCAGCCCTGGCTCAGGTGGAATTGGGCTTCCAAACCCATCCCAGTGGAATTCTCAGATGGCTAGCCTGATAATCTTTAAAGGCTCCTTCAGAGCTGGGGCTCTGACTTTAATCTCCCCTCCCAACCTTCTTCCCTTTTTGTAGGCTCTCCCCATTCCTTTTCCCTCCCGCCCCCCCTTAATTTGAAGATCATTGACACGATAGGCTGTAATGAGTCCTTCAGAAACTGTTATGATCTACAATGACAGTCTCTGCACCTAATTCAAAGATTATTGACAAGCACTGTGGGCTCAGTGGTGTCAAGTTGTACTTGTGGTTTCAACACCCTTCAGCAACCCACATAGCAGCTGGGCCCTGGATTAGGACCCAGATTCTGCCAGAGCTTATCTGCCCGTTGAGTGGTAGAGAGATGAGTATCTGTCTATATCTCAGCTCCCTCAAGCCGGGCTGGGCTTTCTCCCTGGCGCCTTGTCTGTCTCAGGGTTGGGTCAAGGGAAAGATAAAGGCTCTTCAAAGCTTAAAAACAAAGCAAAAGAGGAAATTTAGGAAATTTAATAAATGAGGGCTCATCCTTGAACCTTGGTCTTAACAATCAATCAGTCATCAATCATCTTCTCCAGCCCCAAATAGTTACCAAACTCCAAGCCACATACCCCAGCTTTCATAGTGAGGCTTGGGTTCATCAGGAAGGGAGAGGTATGGAGGGGAGTGGGGACTGGGAACTTGGCACAGACTCAGTGGGCCCAAGCTAGCATGGCCCATCCTCCAGGACTGCCCTCAGAATGGGGCAAGATTGACTACTCTTAAAGCAGGGCGCTCAGCCAAGAGGCGCGGGCTCGGGCCTGGTCGCTGAGACAAGAGACCCCAAATGCCCGCTCCACCCCTAAAGGGCGCTTTGCTGCTGCAGAAAAACGCGGCCCGTTGCCAGCCCGGGTGGTTTTGCCTGCTTCTAAGGAGTCAGTCGCTCGCTGCCCCCTCCTCAGTCTCCAAAGATGGAAGGGCTGCCTTCCCGCTGGCCGCCCGTGGGGCGTGGGATTCCGGCAGGGGCTGAGGCCGCCTGAAACCACAGAAATGACACTGCGCTGGGAAAGCTGGGTGGCATTCCCAGGCCTAGGCCACCCACTTCTTTAGTTCTCTTTCATAAATTAGGGGTTGCGCTTTCTCCCTGGGCCTGGGAAGTTGAGGACACACAGCCCGCCTGCAGCCAGGTGCGGCTCCGCCCCTACCCCCCGGCTTCGCCCTCCTGGTTGGGACCCCCGGGGGTGGAACGGGGTCAACATCTCCGGAGCACTGGTATTGCAAATTCGACATCACTTCCGAATAGCAGGCATGTATCCCCTTTCGCGGGTCGCCTCCAAGATTCTGCTGGCTTTGGCCTCCCCACGCCACCGGCAGCCTTGGACCGCGGCTGTCACGCACCGTTTGTTGGCGCTGGTTCCAAAACTGGCCCAGACTTAATACTTCGGTAACGGGGACTCGTTTTTTTTTTTTTTTTGTTTGTTTTTGGGGCTTTTTGTTTTGTTTTGTTTTGTTTTGCTTTTTGGTAAAGCAAAGGGTGGGGTTGCCTGTAGCAGGGTATCCCGCTTGCCCGTTATTTCGATAGGATTCCGGTTAAGAACTGATCAAAGCCTTGATTCTTTTCCTGCCACGGTATCCAAAGTCATTTATTGAGAAACACAAGCCGAGATTCGATTCTGGAATCAGATGGAGAAGACATCTCTCATCGCACTGAACACCAATTCCCCTGAAAACACAATCTCGGACTCGCTGATTTGGGCAGGTGGGAGGAATAAACGTAAGATCAACTTAAACTTGCGCAGCCACAGCATTAAATATTTTAAAAAGTAATTCTGTTATGAAAATTAATCTAGTTTCCTTCATAGGGAAATTTTTAAAAAGCAACCTCTTAACTTCTTAAGGTTTTTATCTACAAGTTAAAATTGTAAGTACATCCCTGAAGATCAAAATCATAAAACACCTTGTTGAGATCATGTGTTCATTTAACACTGGAATTGTTTCAATTTGATTTTAAACACCTAAACAACCCCATATTTCCCCATCATTTTACATTCAGAGGATCTGTCATTTTTATAGTTTATCTTTCTGAAAGAGTTCAAAGTGTACTCTTACCCTTACTTGCTCACCAAAGAAAAAGCCAAACTTCTTTCTTATGTAGACAGGTACTTTTGGAAGTGTAAAAATACTCCTCTCCTCCTAGGATAATTTGGATTCCTGGTCATTGAAAATGCTGAATTTCAAAAGAAAATACTCTATCATTGGCACACCTTCCCTGAAATCCTACGGCTGAGCTGCTGAGATAAAAGAAGAAAGGTGTCAGGCACCTGTTTCTTAAAAAATACCTGGAATTTAACCACCATCCCGGAAAGGAAAAGTTTGATCAAGATTAGTTTGGGGGATGGGAAACATTCAAAGCAGAGACTGGCCTCTTAATTACACTCTGAAAATAAACAAAAAACGAGCAAGTTATTTCATTTACTCAGGGACTCAGTTACAATTCTTGAAGGACCTCGGAGGGCATTCAAGATGCTGCTGACAAAGTCAAAACAGCAAGCAGCAGCATCTTCCATTTTATTTTATTTTTTTTTAATGTGGACAGAATGGGAGAAGTAATTTGCTTGGTTTTCCACTGCTACAGAAGAAAGTTCTCTCTCTCTCTCTCTCTTTTAATCATGCTTCTCTACCTGTTTTACTATCTCAGAATCTAAAAAGAGTCCCAAACCCAAAAGGGGGTAGGGGATGGCTGGGATGTGAGAAGGAATAGGTTAGTCTTTATTTTTATTGAATTAAAATTGTATCATCTCCTTTTTATTTTTTATTGAATTAAATTATATTATCTTTCAAGGATATAAAAACTTGTTTCCTCGCCCCATCTCCTTTTTGGAGGGTAATAAAGAGTTTTATCTAACCCCAGAGCAAGGTTCTCGCGATTTCCAGGACTGGCGCTGTGCATCTCCTACTGTGTCCAACAGGGGGCGCTGGTCACGAACCTGCGCCGCGGCTCAGCGCCGCTTCACATCTGAGCCGGGTTCCAGCCCCGGAAGGCGAGAGCCGCTCGCGGGGTCGAGTACAGAGCTTTAGTCTTCGTGGATAAAAAGAGATTAAAGGCTAAATTCTTTTTTTGGGTGTGTGTGTGTGGGGGGGAGGGTTATCAATTTTAACCAACTACGAAAATGTAGAGCTTTTTATCCTTTGATGTTCTTATAAAGAAACTCCTATTGGTTGAGGAATTACACGGTTTCTGAGCCAACACTGCAGCTACAGTGTGGGGGAAATTATTTAATTAAAAATATATTTTTCCATCTGTTCACATGATCTTTTTAGAAGTACTTAAAAAGCTGACACTGATCCCTTTGGCCTGTTAACCCTGCCCTAAGTTTCAAATACTTTAGCTATTTCGAAGGCCCTTCTATTAATTTGAAGGGGAAAAATAAGAGACCCAAATATTTAAATCCCCCCTAAACATTTACTGTTCTGCATCCTCCCCCTTTTTTCCCTGAAACAGTGGCTTTTGTGTGATTGACATATTTTACAACTGCCGATTCTGCAAAGCCAGGTATAAATGACAAGAAGTGGCTCTAAAAAAAATCTGATGTTGGACTACATAACACCCATGTATAAGATGAAATCTAAATAATATTGTAATCCACCCACCCCCCACCCTAACTTAAAAAAAAAAAAACCTTCACCTGTATTTAAATAGCGTGTCTTTAATTACAGCAGTTGGGGATGCATGAGGCTGAAATGAAATTAGCAGTCATTACCAGTCCTTTAACTCTGTGGTGCTTTTGATCAGCACTAAATTAGCTTTCCAGTCCTAACAAAGACTCTACAGCAAGCAGTGGGCTGTAAATAAGACAGCGCGACCTGCCCTCAACACCTTTTCTCTTGTCAATCATAGCTCTATCATTCAGCCCAAGATTAACCTTTATCTACCAAATTTAAAAAAAAAAGAACGAAAGAAAGAAGAAAAAGAAAAAAGAAAAAGGAGGCGGGAAGGAAAGCCCCCTGACCACCACATATCGCAGTAACAGAGGTTCCTAAGAGGCCCCTTTAAATTGTATTCTAATGAGCTTGTGTCAGAATCTGCAATTTCCAAATCATCCCCCCCACCAGCCCCCAAGACCTCTTCAGTATATTAGAAGAGTCAGAATGCTGTTCAGGTAGGAAAAGAATCCCTTTCTCCGAATTACTAATTGGGCATGGGCCACCCTCCATAGGTCAATCTGCCAATAGCCTCTCTATTAGTCTAACAAAATTTTGGGAGAGGAGGAGATGTTTGAGGAGAAAACATTGATAATTTTAAGGCATATACATAAGTTTCTGGGATGAAAACAATCAATTTACTCCACTAATAGTCTCTAGTTTCTAAGCCTGCGGAGAAAAACCACCAACAGCAACAACAAAAACCCAGCTGCTTTTCCCAGTACTGAATTAAGAAAGTAAAACATTGGGTCAGATTGCCATTAGAGGGCGCCAGAGAGCAAGCCCCATCACCTCTCGCACAACTTCCCACAGAAGCCCTCCTAGCTTCCAGCTCCGCCATGCTCTGTGATTCCTTCTCTCAGGTAATATTTCCTGCTTATCCTGTCCTCTTGTATCTCTAGCCCCCTCAGTGTCAATCTCTATAAAGAATGAGGTATTGCCATGTCCCTTTCCTTCTCTTTTTTCACACCCCGCCCCCAACTACCACCAAAATAGTAAGACGCCAAATGAAATAGTAGCAACCCCTTAATGATATGTACCTTTGGGCTCAAATCACTCTTTCCATTCTATGTAACCCTGGTCTGGAGAAGGATTTTTCTGTAGGGATGAGCTGCTAGAATTGCATTTTTAAGATGGAAGCCTGAAATTTTCATTTCTGCATTTCTCCCTGGGGGCTCACGGATTTCTTCATTTTCAAAGAAAAAGAGACACATACACCCTTGCAAGGCAACTGATTATGTTCAGCACTAAAACTGTTCAGAAGAGAATAAAATAATGTCTTCATTTCTGCATTTATTAAAGAAATCAAAATTAGCATTTAATTCCAAAAGTTAACGCTTTCAGACTTAAACCTGCCTGTTAAATGCCTGCCACACAGGGTGTATTTCCAGATCTCTTAAAGGTCAAAAGAAAAAAAAAATAGAATGAGAGGGGAAGAAAGTGAGTTGGGGGGGTGGGCGGAGAGGAGTGAGCTAGCAGTGAATGTCAAAGTTGGGTTGCAAGCTACTTACATGTCCATGCCAGATCAGGGTGTTGTCTTGTAGCAGTTTGATTGGCAGGTAAAAAAGCGAAAGAACGTGAGGGCTTCCTGAGCCTCTTGTCAGCCCAAGCTTGATCACTTCTCACCGGACAGAACGAGTTGAAGGAGCTTGCAATTCCCCTCTCGTCCTCCATCCAAGGCACTGTGAATCCATTTCGGCTTTTCTTCCCCCCAGTCTCTCCATCAGCCTCCTGCCTTCACCCGCTTCGCCTTGCACCAGCCTCCAAGACCTAGCCTAGCTTTGCCACTGCAATCCCCTGCAACAAGAAAAATCGTTTATGGCTTAAAACCCCAAATGGCTGATTTTTTAAAAGAGAGAGAGAGAGAGAGGGAGAGGGAGAGAGAGAGGAGTGAGAGGGTGAGGGGGAGAGAGGGGGAGCGAGAAGAATGCACCCAGAGAACAACAAAAAAGTCAGTTATCCTAACACTGCTCTATCCCCCCACCGTACAGAAGAAGAATAAAAAAAAAAAGCTTTATGTTTTTTCAGTGGGTATTCAAAGATAATTTGATGCCATTGTTTCTGCTACAGATGGTTCTTTTAAATACAATAACACGGCTCTTTGTGCAGGCTACCCACAATAAAAATCGAAAGCGTTCCCCTGAATAACCATTTTGTTCTCTCTTGTATGGGGCCAACAAAAGATGCCGTGAGGTAATGGGTTCTGTTTATTGAAGCCATAGAATAGGGGTTTGATAAAGATTTTTTTAAAGCAGAAGACCTTGCAAGGTCGGGCTGATCTCTTCATATTTTTTTTATTAAAATATTTGTCCAATAGATTATTCCTTGGTGCAGCTGCAGGTTTCCTCCTCAATTTTTAATCAGCCCAAACATCTGTCTCTTTGAGGAGGCTTTAAAAAAAATCTGCAATTGTATCAATGGTGCAGTAACCTTATCAAATCCTGAGTTTTTAGGCTCAGTGCAGGCAAAGGCAATGGAGTTTCAATTCCATTTGGGGTGGGGTGAGATGGGGTTGGGGGAGAGGAGACACAACAACCCCAGACGGAGCAACTGAAGAAAATGAGGCTTTCCTCCCAACCCCCTCCCCAAGCCCCTGTTGACCATGCACAACTTGCATGAGTCAGACACAGATTACTGAGGACTTGAGGTATCTCTCCTGATCTCTGCAAGCTCCCACCCCTGTGTGCATGTTGGAGGGGGGGGGGAGGGGGCTAGGCATGTTTTCTTACCATGCTTGCCTTCTCCTCTGGCTAGATCTCCAACCCTGAAAACCTAGGATGGGAGCCCAGGGGGAGGAGTGGAACAAGCTAAAGGCTAGTCTCTAGCACCCAAAGGGTCCCATTCTTGGCTCTCTTTCATTCACTGTTAGCTAGCTTTGACTCATTGATTGCTATCCTGCCAGGGGACTGGTGGCCACAGCCCGCCTATTACAGCGCCCCATCCCCTCAGGCTTGTTCTTACAGCCATCCTGCTTCCTCCCCGGTTCCATGCGCAGCCTCTGCCTCTCCTTAGGCGGGCAAGCCCTGCCACCTAGACCTAGCTGAGGTCAGTATCAACTTTGAGAGAGCCTCAAACCCTTAGGCAATGAGGGTGCTGCAGGGGGAGATGGCTAGGTGTGTCTACCTTTCTATAGGAATTAACGTCAGGGCTCTCCAGGCCTCCAATTGCCCAGAGTGACAGTAATCCACTTTCATGACTTGTGCTCTGTATGTTGTCACTTGTGGCAAGACAATAGTCTGGGAAAATGGCTTTAATCATAAAAACAAGTTTTCATTGGGTTCTCTTTCTCTGCCCTTCGCCCCATTTAGTCTTCCTTTTCTTCCCACAAGCCAGTCAAAATAAAAGAAAGATAAACGCTCAAATGAATCCCTTGACAAAACAATCTTCGCTTCTACTTTCCCTCCTGGAAACAATAATGTTATTGGTTTACATCTGGTCTTGAAGTCATCTAATAAGGGATTCTTGGGGACTATTACTTAGACACCTGTTACAGCCTTCCCTGTGAAACTTGAAAAACAAATGCAAAACAAAGGGGGGCAGAAAATTAAACAAATTTTCACATGGTTGTTCCTCAATAATTCATTTTATATGTCAGGGCGAACACCTTAATATGAGTTTGAGAAGAATGAAAGGGCAATACCAAAAAAGTTATGCACACCCCAACACTCTCTAAATCAAGAAAAGTGTGTTTGTATAAGTAAGAGTCAGTGTGTTGGGGAGGGGAAATGAAGAGTGTAAATCAAGAGCCACCTTTAATAGAACAGGCTAAGGAGT